CAGAAATATGCATTTATAAGAAAACACGTGACGCCGCCAATGACAGCTCCGTGAGCGCTGAGCACCATCAGGCAGCGTACTCACCATTCGGCTTTCCAGGACTCCATTTTACGATGATTTTATTTTATTATACACATAATAATATAATGTGGAGAAGAATATAAAAATGAGTAAGTCATTTTATTTATAAACATTTATGTATTTTATGTTTACATACAAAATATATTTTTTTTTTCATATATATCCTTCAATATATTATTTGTTACAGTATTTTAAAAATAAATTAAATAGAACTATACACTGCGAAAACAAAATAGTTACAATTACCATAATTACACTATAATTTATAGTGTGTAAAAGAAACAACCACATTTTTATAATTATTTCAACCATACGGATTATAGCTGATTCAATCATATTTTTATAGTTAATTCAACCATAATGGATTATGGTTGGGCCAACCATAATTTTATAGTTGAATAATTGGTATAATGAAAACAAATTGGTATAAAGAAAACACATTGGTTTTCAAAAAAAGTATGCAGTTGCATGTCGCAAATTACATATTTTTTCTTGAAAGCAACTATGTGTTTTCTTTATACCAATTGATTCGTCTCATTATTTTGTGCATAAAAGTATTAAGGTAAGATTTCCGAAAACTGAATGTTTTACAAGATATTTTGTATTTTATGTCAAAATGCTGTAACTTTCAAGCCTCATAACTCGAAAAGTACTTAATAAAAAATAACTTCATTATAGTGTTTTGAAAAGCTCTTGATACCAGCTATTAGATTTGGAATCAAAAATAGGGGTTTCTATTTAAAAAATTTGATTTGACCTTGAAATGACCTTGAAGGTCACGGGCAAGGCCAAATCTAAGGTCACCATCGGATTGCCCGAAAAAAATCCTACAACTTTTGTCGAGGTCATTTTCCTCTGTGATGCGTATTTTTCAAATTATCCAGCCGTCCCGGAACTTTTGACACACGCTGTATATTATTACACTTGATAATTTTACGATTATCGTTATATGTGAATGTTATCGACAAAATGTTGTGTAATCAAATCATCTATACTGTTCATATCTTTGTGTCTTACTAAGAAACATTTTTTACATAATATGCTATTCCCCACACAGCACAATGCTCCGATAAAGCACTCAGGGAGTTTATTTTGCTGAGCTCCGGGGGAGCTTACAAAATTCGACAAAATAAGCTCCCCGGAAGTTTATATCCTTAAGCTTCCTGGGAGTAAGCACCTAGGGAGCTCATTTTGCTGAGCTCCGGAAGAGCTTATAAAATTCGATAAAATAAACTCTTAGGCAGCTTATTTTGTTGAGCTGGAATACCTGTAAGATTTTTTATAGAAT